GGATGAAAGTTCGGATCAAATTTCTCGGCATTTGCTACCCGCGTTAGGAGGTCTGATCATGATTGAACTGACCCCATCGAAGGAAGAATGATCGTACCTTAAGTACTCCGTACGACTCCTTTGCTTCTCGTAACTCCGTCGATCAAATAATAATGATTATCGGGGACATTCGGGCCTGATAACCTTATTTCAAGGGCATGAATGTTCATTGGCCATGACTAAACAGCAATATCACATGATAATTTTTCTGTAATATCCCCATCACATGATATGAAGGAAATGACTAAGCAGTATCTTTCCAATATAGGACTAGTGTCATGTAACTTTGGCTTATTAATCGTGATATGTACCGCAGACCACCAATAGAATGCAAACCATACGGCAAATATCTGTACCGCATGATACATGGTTACCACCCAAAATTACCGATCAAAAGTACCGATATCAAGTCCTCCGAACATCAGGTCAAAAAGATGTCGACAACTACTAGTAAATATTGTTGCCGGGGAGCGAAAACTCTTAAACTCCATTAAATTCCTTTATATATTCATCATTATAATATCCACAAGAAAGAAATACCACCGGAATCGTGAGCCCAACGAAACCACCGCGACCAACAAGCAAACAAACGCCATAACACTCCTCCTAATCAGGGTATAAATTCGTTGAAAATCACCGAGCAGGCGGCTTCATATATTATGAGAGGAATCAAGCCAGATCCCAGCCTGCTGCCTTACGTTGATGTCTGGGATAACTGCTCGAAAGTGTCTCGTCGCTGTCCCGTTCATCTTGTACCGTCACGGTAACATCCTGACGGACATGTATTGATTTCAGGGGCTCAGCGTCATCCTGATACTTGGTGCCATGGCCATGTGGTAGTCCATGGCTGGATTCATACGCTATTTCACTTTCAGTGGTGTTCCCGTGGGATAACTGGCCGCGGCTGAAGGAGTTCAATTGCATGTGGTCCTTTGTCGACTGGAAAGGAGGACGAGACCCTGTTCTGCGCCCCGATGTTCCTTTTCCCGTTCCATATTGTCGCGATCCGCCTGTCCAGCTCTTAAGAGCAGGGAATATATCTCTTAACAACGACCATGTCATGGGGAGACAAGTGACAAGCATTGCGACAGTCGCTTCTCTAAAGTACCAGTTCAGGTACACGTAGGAGATCAGGGATGGTACCAGACAATATACCTTTGTCAAGACTGCTGCAATGATGATGAAAATACCCAGTCCAAAAATGAAAACAAGGATCAATTTCTGTTTTTGGGGTAGCCGCACAGCCATCAGGAGTGGGATAGCGATGAGCAGCATGAGAATGTCTGATGAAATCGCGAGAACACCCTGAATTATCTCATAGTATTGGTAGGACGAGCATTGATCTAGTCAAAACGTTTTAGTATTTTTGCGCAATATTGCTGTGGGTTATTATCGAGATTGAACTGACAGTCTGGTGTGGGAACAGCCCAATAGTTCGGTAGAGGTCGGCATATTAAGAAGAGCGCCAGCTCTGAACCGACGAATCCCAGGAAAACCCAGATGGTGAGATATTTCACAAGGCGCTGTTGGCTTAGTCCATCCCTGGTTATCGAAACAAGCGCGGTTAGCAAAATCTGACTCCTCCATTCGACAAACGCAGCAAAGCAGATCCTTACATGATGCGGCGGTATAATATGATCATGCAGGCCTTCAACGTCCAAATAGTCATCACGAACGCATGTTCTGAAACAAACACCCATTTGCTCCCCTTGACACGCTGTGCCTTGATCTCCGGGGTGAGATTCCGTATGTCCTCTTCATCCATCAAATTGGAACCGCCAACGGCGACCACTTGATTTAGGGAGATGCATAGCAATGTGTACCATATGCCTCCTGTGATCATCAGGTAATCGTCATACTGTAGCGAACCCAGTCCGAGTCGTCTCACTCGAGCAATTCTGCCAACCGCAACAAATTACCCTATACGTCAGTCCATGATAAGTCAAGAGATGAGGCGCTATCCATGGGAGAGCTCACGTTCGTAAGACCAAGACCAAGATTCCAAAGGAATACAAGGTCCATGTTTCCTTCTGGAAACCGCTTGCATATGAAGTGTCCAGGGCAGTCATGGTTGCAGGCGATATATCGAATATTGTGTGGGAGAGGCCACGACAGTACGTTAAATATCCACTCTCTTTCCCGTTCCTCACTTGCTAAGCTGTTGGATAAGCAGTCAGGTTTCCGGCCGAACCCAGTCCACTGGAATTTTCATGCATGTGGACAATATCCGTGACAGGGCGATTGGAATATAATATATATTTGTACGGAGTATTGAACCTAGACACTTTATCCCCTTTCCCCAGCACCCCGTATGTGCAAGCTTTGAGAGCATCGGTCCGGTAAGGATTGGCTGTTCACCCAGGGGGACAACTAATTAATCCATCTTGGGATGTAAAGACAACGTTCCCCCAGGGTTGCCAGGCTACCTAACTATCTCACTACAGTCAACAGCAATCTTAACCCAAAATCGTGGCTTTTTTTAACGAAGAGCATGCACTCCAAGCTTTCATTCTGGGCAAAAATGCTGAACGCCCTCGACTACTTAGGGGAACAGGCCCTGCAAGATTTGCATCGTCTCTTTATTAAAGTTCAATGACATTCGAGGGACCAATAGCGACCTGGAGGTTCATTGGCAGAGCATGCAGGGAAGCGAAGGATGTTGATAAATTTTCAGGGGCGCTGTCGTGGGTACGTACGAAGATCCTGCTCTGTCGTTTACTTTGTAGCTTTTCGCAAGAATGATTTCGTTTTTAGTTCAGGTAGATATAACTACCTGCCGTTAAGAACCTAAAATGCTTCGATTCCAGAAGGCCATCTCGCTAATTTGAATAAGCCACATCTTGCTTGTCAGATAGATCGAGAAAGAGGCGAAAAGCAAGACCCAAAGGGCGCCATCCCCAAAGTTCTGTATCCGTATATATAGAACAAGCTCACATATCCATAACAACAATGGGGTGGGCCAGTCGGGTGTGAAACCAGAAAATATAGCCATCCAATAGGCAGTGTCGTGGGCGCAACGGATACGGGTGGCTTGCCGGCCAGAACATCCACCTCCTTCCATCGTGACACCTAAAGGGGTTAAAAGATATGCGGCATCAGTGTTCTGGTAGGTATTCATTACGTGGGAGTTTCAGGGCTTTTTTTCTGTCTCGGGGAGGAGAATTTATCCTCGGTCTGCTCCGTGCATCGGTAAAGATATGCCTAGGCCGAGCAGCCACTTTGGCATTTTGTGACAGAAACCCTGTGTGCCTGTCCTGACTGCAAGGCCTGAGGCTATCTTGCATGGCCTAGCGCCCTGTCTATACGATAACGGGAGCCTCTACGCGCGATGGCTGAAATTTGCCAAAAAAGCAACGAAGAAAAGAAAAGGGCGCTGTGAGAACTTCACACAGGTGGAAGTTTGCCAGAACTGATTGACGATGCTTATGTTTCATCCAGATGGCTTGACGTGAACATCCAATATTCATAAGGTTGAAACGCATCATCTAGATGCCATGCCGTTGCTTAGAATCGGGTATTACTAGGCAGTACTGCTCAGTTCACACGCCCGACATCAGATGTCTAACATATATTGGTCATTTTATTAGTTACTATAACTATGGAGGTGCTGGTATAGGCTGCACGGCACGGCGTACCAAGCACCAAATTAGCAGAGAACACCGAGACTAAAGGCGATACCGAAAAAGAACGTGAGATGCGGATGGGGTTCGATTCACTCCAAGAAATAGCACAGAAATATATGTCTCACCGGCTTGCACGGAGTATAGAAAATACCCTGCGATTTAGATGGCATCTTCGTGCATCATGCATTATGCAGTATTGGCCACCGGAGATGGCTGTCCAGAACTCGAGAATCATTCCACCAAGCAGATGTGCATCCTGCAGCCTGCTCGACGCCAAATTTCTGCGCCTCGAGAGTACCCATATCAGCTCCAAAGAAGCCAAAATTCACTTGCATATACGAAGGCCTCACTCCCTTTCTTTGCTTTTTCCTTCTCTCGCAATCCATCCGGAGGGGAACAAGGAGACTCGCCAGCGGGACGAGAAACTCTGCCCGCGAAAGTCCACTCGCGAAATGGAACCAGCCTAATCCTTAAATCTACTAGGCCCTGAGACTCTGCCAATCATGACAAGCTAGCTAGGATATAGGGTCTTGTTCCCAAGTTACCGATGCTTCCACTCTCTACGCTGTCCCATCCCTCGCCTCCACCCCAAGCATGGAGATGGAGACATGCTCCCCCATGTCTAGCGGGGCCTATTATCTCCCACAAGACTGTCGAGCCGAGAATGATATTGCTTGAATGCGATGGAGAACTTGTACTCTGGCCTGATATGTGGCTGGCCTGTAAGCACGCTTGAGGCACATACATGGATAGCGGATTTCCTACTCCATCCGGGAAGAGTCGACTGTTGACAGTGGACTATCAAGCCCTTCTGAGGTTTCATTTGTCCTTGACCTGGGCACACTCCCTGCCGTCTCCCTGCACCATTCAAGGGATTGCCCTGTCTTCCAGAAAACGCCAACGCCACGTTTTTGTTCAACCCTTTGACCACAGGAAAGCATTTATTCAATCTTTCTCGTCACAAATCCGTGGCCTGGCAGGCAGGTCCGAATTTGAGTCTCCCTGTCTCGACTTGGTAAACCTGTTGGTAGAACCATCTGTTCTTCAATCCTGTCCAACTCCCTGGTTCTGTCCTACCTAGCGGGATATTCAATTTGTCCGTTTTTTCCTGCAGCAAGCACATTCTTCATCATATTCTTCAGCTTCTCGCATCTACTAGTATTTCTTTTTCCCATTCACCCGCTACGTCGTTCTCTTGATTCTTCCACTGCTGTCCGTTCGCGGCCTCTTTAGCACCATTCAAAGCCTCCAAAAGCTTCTTCCCTGATATCAGCTATCGAAGACATCTGGGAAGCTCGGGTGGCTTTTTCCTTACACTCTCGGGCAAGAACAATAGCCATGGCTGAATCCGAGAAGCAAGTCGAGTCTCCTTTGGCATCGCCAAAGGACAAGATGAAGGAGGTTGGCGCTACCGTTACAACAACCGAGTCGCCAGATTCGCCAGGTATAGACCCGATGATAAACTCGTCGGGTCACAAGCAACAGCTTGATCGCAACTTTAGCCTGATCAGTATGTGCGCTATTGGCGTTACAGCAGGAAACACTTGGATTGCAATGGGTGGCAGTGTTGTGAGTCCATGCTTTTGCCCTGACAAAATACATTTTATTTGCATGCGTTGCCTGGCCGTTGGGATCCAAGCAATGAGACATTCAGCATTAATGTCGGCTACTGATACACTAACTACCCCGTCCACTTAGACAACGGCCATCTTCAACGGCGGGCCTCCCGGAGTTATCTATGAGTAGTAAGTAATTACGCTGCAGACGCGGGTAAGCGAGCACATGTTAAAATCTGGGCCATAGCATTGTTGTCTCCTTTTTCTACTGGTTTATCTCGGCCTCAATCGCTGAACTGGCTTCTGCTATTCCCTCTGCTGCCGGCGGTAAGTTGTTTGTCATCATAGCTCGCAGTCAGCAATATCTGAGACTAAATAGGAAGGCTAACTTATCATTTTCCGCAGTGTACCACTGGGCCTCAGCCACCGCCGGCCGCTATGGCCGCCCCGTGGGATGGTTTGCGGGATACTGGAATGCTTTGGCATGGCTATTTGGTGCAGCCTCCATATCATCCATTCTCGGAAACCAAGTCATGTCTATGTACTTGATATTCCACCCAGACCATACACCTCAGGCATGGCAGGTCTTCGTCTGCTACTTAATTTGCACCTGGATGTGTTGCCTCACCGTGCTCTTCGCTAACAAGGCCTTGCCAATTATCTCAAATATCGGCATGTTCCTTATTCTAGCGGGTGTGTTTGTTACTATTATAGTATGCGCTGTGATGCCACGCTATAACGGTAAAGGTTTCGCCACAAGCGACTTTGTCTGGAGGAACTGGTCCAATACCACCGGGTACAAAAGTGATGGCCTAGTATTTTTGCTTGGAATGCTCAATGGCGCATACAGTGTAGGAACCAGTGATTTAACCTCCCATATGGCCGAGGAGATCCCCAAGTAAGTGCTTCTGATATGAGCGTATAACTATAAACCTTGAGCTGATGCGTGGCGCCTTTAGTCCAAGCAAGAACATCCCGCGTGCAATCATGGCGCAGACTGTCACGGGCTTTATCACTGCCGTTCCATACATGATTGCTCTTTTCTACTCTATCAATGATCTAGATGCCGTACTTGGAACCTTCACCACGTTCCCCTTGGCAACAATTTACCACCAGGCCACCGGAACCAGGGCTGGAGCTTTTGGACTACTCATTATTGCGTTTCTACCTACCTTTATCACCTGTATAGGCTGCTATATCACAGCCGGACGTGTCCTCTGGACCCTCGCCCGTGACAATGCTACTCCTTTCTCCGACTTCATCGCCCGGGTACATCCCACCTACCACAACCCGTTCAATTCAACTGCTGTCTGCGTCGCCGTTGTCACTGTACTTGGATGCATCTATGTCGGCTCAACTACCGCTTTCAACGCCTTCGTCGGATGCTATGTGCAGCTGTCCACCCTCTCGTACCTCGCAGCAATCCTGCCTCACCTCCTCCGAGGCCGCAAAGGCATCACCCCAGGCCCTTTCTTTATGAAAGGATGGGTTGGCTATGTGGTAAATACCATTAGCTGCCTGTATATTGTCACTTTTGTCATTATCTTCTGCTTCCCATTCAGCATGCCCACGTCGGCTGCTACAATGAACTACGCATCCCTGATGACCGGTGGAGTGACCATTTTCGTCGTCATTTGGTACCTCATCCGCCAGAAGAGTTATGTCGGGCCACATGTCATATCAATCCACGATGTGAAGCTCGATCGAATGGAGTAATACCTTGAGTCTTTCATTAATCTTTCCCGCCACCATCGTTTCTTTCTATCTGTTCATTTTTTTCTGCCCCTGCGCGTTGTTGTATATATTGCTTCCTGTGAGATGTTTCGAGCATTCCGTTCGTTTCCCTTACATAACAAAAATAATACAGGTTATACATAGTCACATGATATATTATGGTGAAAATACGCTAATAGAGTGGAGTGTTATCAACTGACCCTATTAAAAAAAACCTTTGCATCAGCTTATTTAATCAATATCTCGAAGTTAATCAACCTGAAGCGGAACATTCAGGGGTTTGAAAAAAATGATCAGCCATCAGGATGAAGGAGGGTCAGGCAACGTCGCGGATGATAAGACCTGGTTGATGCTTGTCAGACATTTTTCCTCTTCCTATTCTCCCCGCTCCCGATATAACGAGGCTAGTTAAGCGATCTCCAGCTTTCAGCTTACGTACTGCATACACAGGAGCCTATCGTAAAACTTCCGATTACCCCTGAAGCCCCCAAGCAGCTAGAATAACACATTTGTCCACTTGAGCCCGCAGGCCCAGGCACATGGGGAAACTCCCGTCCTGTCTCGCTGCGGGGATCAGGCGTTGCACAGCACGTAAACTCTCCTGCAACCACCTCATTTTTGCACACAAAGTACCCCCTTGCAGCGTTTGCCATATGAAAGGTACTTTGAAGAGCGACGACAAGCTCACCTAGCGCGCATTACTGAGAATTAGCGGTGTTCTGCATGAGAACGAGATGTAGAGGCAAAAAAAATATATCTTCGCTGTCCATCCGCTAATTCTCCTAGCTTGCTCGCTTCCCGTCTCTCCTCTCTATCTCGCTCTGGAATCATGTCGATGCCCAAATATGTATCGACTTCACACGCCGCTCTCTGAGCTTTTGACTTGGCGGTAGAGCTTCTTTCGCAGATCATATCGCGCTGAGTGGTGATAATAACCTTCAGCCTATAGTTGCTTTTACGAGGGGAGAGCGAATCGATACGATCTCATCCCAAACACCGAAATCTGCCTTGCTCGATCGTTTCACTAGTTTTAAACCAAACCGTCGGAATACACTGACTGCAAGATGAAGGCACACGCTGCTCTCTGGATCTATGTTCTCCCACTGGCTTTCTCTGCGCCAATTCTTGTCCCAGGTGGTGATGGCCTCAGGGGCACTCCTAGGGTCACCGCAGGTTCTCAGCCTTGCACCGCGGTCTTCTCGTTTATCACCAGCAGTAGGGCGCGCCACACGCTCAAAGGCTGTGACAACATACTGCTAGAGAAGTACGCATATCTTGCTGATCGATGGTCCTCTTTGCCGTCATTCTCACCGTCAACCAAAGGGCGGGAGAACCCGCGGTGCAAATCTCCAATTTTACCCGACCATTTGCCGACACCCGCGCTTAGAGAGGAGTTAGCCGCGCTTCCAGGATCTATCTCGACATCAACTTCCGCTTCTACAGCATTACCAGCACCAATAGCAGCGTCTCTGCCCCCAGCGAGGTCTCAGATATCTGCATATGCTGATAGGATGCGCCTCGAAGATATTATTGCCAGCCGTGATTTCTCGGTTTTCCTTGACTGGCTATCTGCGCGCCCTATCATGGCCTGGACACTCATTACTGCGGTACTGATTATTGTCTTTTTCGTCTCAGCTGTCATTGTTGAGATAGCTGTTGCGCTGTGGAGAATTATCACCCCGTCAGACGCTGAAAAGCAACTGTCCACCCGTTCAGATATCGAGGTGTTGGACTTTGGAGAAATCTACCTGTTCGGGCCAGAGAAGAGGCTGGTTGCAGCTATGGTTGTTGATGATAGAGAGAAGATACTCCCTGCTTACACAAAATGATGACTGTTGCCAGGTTTCACACAATTTACGATGTTTACGCTAATTCCGGCCTTTATTATTTACCGAACCTCAACACCTAAGACGTTTCGTGTTACAAGCATCGCTCTTTTATTCCTGGTACTTTCCTTTGGTTTAAATTTGGTTTAAATTTTGATTGATTTTGTCGACATGATATCTCACTTATACCCCGTTGTGCAGCATATTTTGATTAGCTAACTAGAAGATGTTTACTCCAACCATATCAACTATGTTAATATTTTCCTATGGGTTTATATACCCTCAGCAGTAGGCGGACCTTTATAAGCTAATTGATTTAGTATCTTGGTGTTTGAGCAGCATGAGAAGGGGGGGGGAGACTCACTCCTTTTCCCGTAAAGAAAATACCATACTGTACAGATAACCAAAAACCCAATAAACACAACGGATGAATAATTCATCGACGCAGGAGTAACTGGCAGAACAGTCGGCATGCTGAAGAGTACAAGTTCAAATGCGATCCAGACAAGGGCAACAACATTGGACACCAAACCCAGAAGCGGACCACAGTTCCATTTCGCTTTGCGCACTTCGCTACGCTTGTAATATAAACTGATACCAATGGGAATTGCGTAGCTGACTGCCAGGGCAATCACTCCCACGGAGACAAATGCTGTAAATGCGCTGGTGCTTCCGATGTTTATTAGGCCGAGAAGCATTTGTACGCCAGTCAAAAGTGTCAGGGCATTGAGGGGAGTACCCAATCTGTCATCAATTCGCGCCCATATATTCGACATAGGAATGGCTTCGTCGCGTGCAAAAGCCCAGGTGGTGCGAGAAGCGGCTACGGTTACGCTAATGTCGCAAAGTAGGACCAAAATAAAGATAAGAACCATAAGGGCAAGGCCGCCGTGTGGTGAGTCCATGACAATGCTAAAGACGTATGGTAGTGCCTGGCCACTGGGAGAGTTGTTGATAATATCCAGTAACGGTGGCAAGGTGAAACATATCGGTAGTATAAACAAAAGTCCTGCTGTGCCAGCAATGGGGATACAGAGGCTTATTGCTTTGGGAACAGTAATAGAAGGGTTATATACCTCCTCGGCCATAGAAGATATCATTCCTAGGGCAGAAAAGGTATATGCCGCCGGGAGCAGACCAATGCAGAAGCTAAACCCACCCCATCCAGACATAGTTGTGTCGTAGTGCGCCAGGGCATAACTGATGCTGTGGCGGCGGGCCCCAGTTTTGACAAAGAGCGTAACCAGGACTACTATAATAACGATTGCTGTGCATGTAGCGCATATCATATCCACCTTTGGAAGATACCGGTTGCCAAATGCGCAGATGATAAAAACAAGAACGCACAGGAAATAGAAGGTAAGCAGTAATTGCCAACTGCTTGCTGACCAGCCCGGGTGATATATGCTCACAGTTGCGTTGATAATTCCCGCAAACCCAAAATTGACGGACAGAGTAATCGTCCACGTTCCAACAAGCCATACCCAGCCATTGATGAACGAAAGTAGGACTTTATGTTTTTTCGACAACTGAAAGGTCCAGTAATATGGTCCTGCAGAGGTTGGATATCGTGACACGAGTTCACCAAGGGAGAGTGCAACGCATTGATCTAGCACAAGCACAACAAGCCATCCGATGAAGATTGCCAGCGGCCCACCGCCATAGATAGCGCTAAGAAGAGGCCCGCCTTCACCGTAGGGAACAGTAGCGATAGCCAGGGATTGAGCCAAGAGAGTGAGAAGCGATCGGTTCCTTTTCAGCTTAGGGGCATAGCCGAGAGTGTGGAGGGCATCCGGATCATGAGCAGTATCGCTGTCACCCGTTTCTGGATCTTCGCTAATAGACTCTGATACATGACAAGCTGGTTTCACGTCAATAGTCATCTTGACTGGAAGCAGTGCAATGAACAGAAGCAGTCATTCTCGGAATGGTTATGAAATCAAAGATGCCAATAATGCTTGCGTTGCATCAGGGTGCCGCTCGGTTTATAAGACACCCCGTTCAACCGTTTCGACCGTCCAGCTAATTAGTATCTCCGTAGATAAGAGAGACTATTCCTGTCCTCTTGAAACTAGCGTGCAACTGCGGCTTTCATTATTGGGTACGGAGGACTCTATTATTCTAAACGCCAGGTTTTGAACCATTAGTAAAAGATTCCATCCATACGGAATACCCATGCCGGTAATAGAATATTGTAGGGTTACCGCGAGTAACCCTACGATGGTATCTCAAGCTCAAAAGAAGTAACTGCACGACTAATCAACTTGCACAAGCTGGATCTCAAGCGAAAGCCGATGCGAGTGTTCGGGAATCACTCCCTTCATCCGAGCAGCCGAATTCTTAACCGGGTTAGGATCGTCGCAGGCTAGTTATTAAAACCGACTGGTTGATATGGTCTGTGGGCCCAAGACCACGCCATAAAGCTAACCATCAACATGCAGTGATGTTTTAGTCTCAAGAGGGGTATCATTGTGGCATGGAGGGTGAGAGACACTGTGATCGTGATGTTTCCAGGCTTCGTTGGCCAAAGTTGATAACAAACAAAACATCGACGGCCGGAAGTTGGCGAGAGGCGCCGGGCGGGCTAACCCGATTGGGCGATGGATAAAGGCTTCTTTTCAACCTCACTTCATCGACTTCATCGACTTTGTTTCATGCTTTTGTTTCCTTCAGCTTCATCTTTACAACAGACATCTTGAGAGCCATATCCAAGGGCACATTGAGCCCCCTCAGCAGTATCAAGGCTAAAGTGATACCTCTTCCGTTTGTACTATATCCTTCCAGTCTACACAAAGCGGGACCTTTCCCCTACACACGGCAATATTGATGACTTATAGCCAGAACATAGCCGGTGTGGTGTAATATAATCATATATTACCGGATCGTGGTTTCATTGCACACTTCATATCCTTGATAGAACATCTAGAATTCTATCGTTTAGCCTATACAGGGATTCTTCACTCGTGTGAGTGGCTTTATTATTGTCATGGTTGTTTTGTTACAGCAAGCTTAAAGGTGACGGCTGCCAACTTGATACCAAGCTACCTTTATTTCTTGACTGATCTTGCTATCTTCTTCTAAGAACACAATAACTTGCACTGCATAGGCACCCCTCTGGCCACAATTGCGTGAAAGTAACCACGCAATCTAAGATAAATATCCCGGCGCGACGATATCTGCTCATTTCCGGACAGCGGGCCCTAATACCATGATTGAGTCAGCTTCAATCAAGTCGAAGCTGAACCTTATCGACAAGGCCCGAGCTCGCGGAGCTGGAAACCATATCTCTCTTCCACAACTAGTTGTCTGCGGCGACCAGTCCGCGGGGAAGAGTTCAGTCCTCGAAGGCATCACAGAGATTCCGTTCCCCCGAAAGGATGGCCTGTGTACCAGATTTGCCACTGAGATAGTTCTCCGTCACTTTACCGGGGTGGAGACCATTACCGCAACCATTATACCTCACTCCTCCCGAGATGAAGCAACAGCAAGTCAACTCCGAGCTTATAAGAGGCAACTTCACACTTATGATGAATTACCTTAGATTATTGAAGCTGTTGGAGCCCTCATGGGGTTAAGGGGCTTCGTGGACCAGAAAGATGCCCCTCCATTTGGTCTGGATGTTCTGCGAATTGAGGTCGTCGGTGAGACTGGGCTTCATCTTACTATAGTTGATCTACCAGGGCTCGTCTCTGGAGCCGAAGGTGACGACCGCTCTGTCGTTGAAAGTCTGGTCAATTCATACCTCGAGAATCCACGCACCATTATCCTTGCTGTGGTCCCAGCTACCAGTGATGTTGAAACTCAGCCAATCATTCGGGCAGCTCGACAATTTGATAACGAAGGAACTAGGACTGTTGGTATTGTCACCAAAGTTGACCTCATTAATGATGGAACTGAAGAGAGAATCGTAGCCGTGGCCAAAAACCAAGGCCCTATCAAGTTAAAGCTAGGTTACTATCTGCTGAAGAACCCATCGCCAAAAGAGATTGAGTTTGGGATAACTGCCGAGGAAAGAAAGAAAAAAGAACTCAGCTGGTTTCAGAAACCCGGCTGGAAGAGTAGATTTCTTAGTCCCAACAGAGTGGGCATCGATGCGCTCAAATCTTCACTCGAAGTACTCCTTGCGCAAACGAGCTCCCTAAAGTCTGCTCCGAGATAACGAAGCTGCTAGAAGATGCACAAAAAGAGGTCACCGAGCTTGGTGAAGAGCGGCCTAATGCACAAGCGCAGAGGCTTTTTCTCTCCAAACTCAGCATGCAGTTTCAAGGACTCGTACAAGCTGCGACTGGGGGAACGTATCAAGGAGTTTACTCTCAGTTTTTCAACTTGAAAGCTAACAACGTCTTAGTCAATCGAGTTCGATCCAGGGCCCATGAACTGAACAGCACGTTTGCCAGGTATATGCACACTAAGGCTTTTAAATATGATTTAAAGCTGCAGGAAAAGATAATCACAGGAATGAAGACAACGTGGACACAGCTTTCCCACTAGAATGGGGGAATCCCGAGACTCTTATTGATGGTGTTGATACCTGGATTCTGACGGTAAGTATGCAATTATATGCTCATGCCGCGTTCTTATTTGCTCTCAACTGTATGACCGACTAATGCTGTATGACCGACTAATGTACCTCATTCAGGCTTACAAAAATTCCAGAGGCCTGGAACTCAGTGGGACTTATGGATACTCATTACTTATGGAATTATTCCACGTTCAATCGAGCCGTTGGAGCACTATAGCTCACGCACACACCAAAAGGGTTCATAAGTTAATAAGCACATTTGTTGAGCAGGCTCTCTGTCATATCCTCATAGAAGACCGTGCTCGCAATGAGTTATGGCGGTCTATAAAAGCTTCACTCCAGAAGAACTTGGCTGCAGCGCTTGCAGAGCTCCACAACATTTGTGAAGATGAGAAGATGCCACCAATAACGTACAATCACTCCTATGCTGACAATGTCGAGAAGGCCAGACAAAAGGGTACAAAGAATGCTATTCAGAGTGCGCTTAAGAAGGCTAAAGGCAGCCTCGGAAGTACTTGGGGCCAAGATTATGACGAGAGAGAACACCATCGCCGCCAGGTACAAGAAGCTTTGGAGGAAGAAGTCATCTTTGATATGGAAAGACGGGCATGCGAGGAAGCAAAGACTGCCCTGGATGCTTACTACAAGGTAACAAGTTGCATTGATAACATTTGGCTACCTTGGCTAACTTAAGGTCTCCCTACTGGTAGGTTGCAATGAAGACATTCGTAGATAATGTTTGCCGCCAGGTGATTGAACGGCATCTCATGTCCAAGCTTCCCACCATCTTTTCTCCTACTTCGGTTCTGGAGATGACTGATCTAGAGATTACGCGTATTGCAGGCGAACCAGCTGACAGGACCCGCCGGAGGAATGAGCTGATGGGCATGATCCAGACGCTCGGTGAATCTCTCGAAGATCTCCAGAACTAGACAGTCAACACCAAGATTCCCACTTAACCAAATGTCTTTTTCCTATTGCTAGCCGCCGGGTACTTATTCTATTATCTTACTATTATCTTACTAGTCCTAATAAAAGGGAGCACCTGAATCTGACATGATAAAATGCAGTGCTATTCTGGCAAATATGCATATAACTAGCTGTATGAACAAGGGGTATGTATAACTCCACGGCAGATCCGAAGCCCTGGACCATGACCGCAAGACAAACAAATAAACATATGTGATATCACAAATATACGCTCTAGGCACCGTGAACTCCATCAGCCATGAATCAACAATGATCATACAGTCTCATGTATCGTGAAAAGAACAAGTAGAAAAGATGTTTTTTATGAAGCTCCATCAGCGAGCTCAGACTTTTGAGCCAGCCGGGCAGCGAGTTTCTTCCTCTTCTGCCTCTCGCTGCGAGAGTGCCAGATGGCAGCCACCATGTTATAGAGGTAGATCCAGGAGAAGAGAACGACAACAAAGGCTAGACAGGCAGCCACTGCAACGATAGACAGGACAACGACGCCGTACGAAGCCCGGTGGAAGGCGATGCTCTCGCTCAACGGGTGTATGGCGGTGCCGACCTGCATGGCCGAGAGCACAACCGAAATATACACGAATGCCCCGATGAGCCAGCCAAAGTTGCGCTCGAAGAAGACCTGGTAGCGGTTATAGCTGTAGAGATAGCCGCGGATGAAGTGCGAGCGGAAGAAACGCAGGCGGAAGATGGTGTTGATGCGGCCCAGCCTGAGCTCGCCGAAGTGGTACCGCTTGTTGACCTTGTCGAGGGCGTTGAAGTCGACGTGCCGGTTGAAGTCCTTGACAAACTGCTTCCACCACGGCCAGGTGATCTGGGGCGAGACGAGATGGGCGTCCTGGGCCAGCTGCAGGTCGATGGGCGAGCATATCAGCCAGACCCAGGAGAGCAGGAAGCCGCACGCCAGCTTGTGCAGCGCCTCGTCCTTGCACAGGTATTTCTCCCAGAAGTCGTAGTCGAGGATGTAGTCTGGCAGCGTCTTGAGGTAGATCTTGTTCGAGAAATGGATGAGATGCAGGTCTGCCTGCTCCGTGGGCAGGAATTCGAAGCCGATCATCTTGTACCGCTGCATCTTGCGCGCGTTCAGCGGCCGCCCGGCCATCCAGAGCAGGCCATGGATATCGTTGAGCCGCTTGACGCTCAAGTCGCCCGCCACAAACCTGTCGATGCCCTCGTCCTCGACCAGATACACCGAGTGGCTGCCGTGTCTCGTCTCGTGTGCGGTGTATGGCTCCTTGACGCGGGCGATGGTAGGCAGCGTGCCGATGGGATCGAGCTTGATGCGCAGCCGGCCGGCCGAAGATGGGCCAGCCTGCGTCTTCCCGTCGCCCGGCGCATCGAGAGCTGTATCGACGCCCGACTGCCTGTAGAGAGGAGGGAAAGGAGGTTCCAGCGGCATTCCGGGGGGCGTTGCAGGCTTGCTGGATAGTTAGTTGGTGCTGTGTTTTCCGGTGGTCGAGGTGAGAGAAGGCTGCGGTTGAGCTCTCACGGCGGACAGGGCGGTTTTTATATGGCCAGGCAGGGCTTCGTACGCGCCCGTCGATGGCCAGCCTGTCCAGCCGCAGCGCTCGCTTTGCTTCTTCTTCGTCTTCGTCCTCGACCTTGCCGGCGATCGATCACTGGAACGAGTCTGGTGGCCGGCGCAAGCGCTGCATGACTCTGGCTTGTCAGACCTTACGCCAGCACCCGCCCCTCAGGGATCTTCAGGCGCCTGCAAAGGGACCCAGCTGCCTAGCAGCTAGGCCGCAGCTAGACATGCAGCTACGGGTCAGCCCCGTGAAGAGCGCTGCTGTCACTGGAGGTATCACAGATGGAGAGTGGCAGGGATGGGTCGTTGGAGGCGAGACTCCTTCATTGCCGTTGTCAGAGGACTCGACGATGGATTTGCGGACATACAGATGGATAAGCTGGTTACGGAGTATCTCTTTACAGGAGAAGAAGCTCAGAATAACGGTCGTATTCGATATTGGTAGCTGTTCAAGTTGGTTACATCGTTATATCTACGGAGCATGGATGAAATGGCCAGCTATCAATAGAGATGTTTATAGCCGCCGTCCATCCATCATCCCTGGTGCGCCACCAACAATTGACAGTGTTGGCGGATGCATGTTGAGGCCAGAATGGACCCTAGAAACGTTCATAGCTTGATTCTCGTTGGCTCTAGGACAATATCTCAGGGTTTTATTAATAGACATGGCCAGGTTGTACAGTTGTTATACCCGAAAGGGGGCAAGAAAGGGGGCCATGGACAGGCTCTATCAAAATCTATCCAACATCTATGCATCGTTTCTATCAGATGAACAGTGTATCGTCTTCGTCATAGTCATCAGGCGAAAAGGCACTTTCGCACCCCATACGCCTGCTGGGACTCTGCGGACCTCGACCGGCGTGAAGCCCCGTCGGCTCCAGTAGTCTCCATTTATCTCCCAAGTTGCCCGCAGCCGCATCGTCAGGGGACCAGCTTCACATCGTGCATGATTAGCCCCAGCAGCCTCTTGTCTGCGTGTAGTCAGCTTCGCTTCATTCACCCGAGAGCAGAGATCTGCCTCTAGAAGGGCAAGGCAGCGAGAGGCCAGCCCACTGTGGAGCAAGCTCGGGTCATGTTTAACAGCAACGGATACCGGTTCCCACATGGCAATGGACAAGATATCTTGCGTATTCCCCTTGCATCGAACAGGCTGTTCACAGTATTCGGACTTGATATCATCGTGGTAGCCCGTCAGTACATCACCAGACGCATCGACTGGCTCGTGTTTGATATGTGGCAGCCCAACAATCGCCTCTCTAAACGGTCGTAACATCGCCGTGGCAACAGGATCGGTCCAGTCATTCGTCGTTTGTCCCGGAGTCCTTCGAAAAAGGACACAGCATCTTCCATGATCGTCTACTGTATTGAGTAGCTCTTCCAGGCTCTCGAAACGACTCAAGGAGCTGCTATATATTGCCCGACTTCCCTCGTAGAAAGCCTTATTTATCAGCTTGAGCAGTGGTTCCCGGCACGGATGCTCACGGAGTTGGTCGCCATCGAGAATCAGGTATTCGAAATCGTCGTGGTCTTTCAGCATCCTGAGGGTATATTTTCTGACTCACGCTTCATCCACGGCAGGTAGACAGTTCCTGAAGGTGTTTGAGTACAGCATGTCAGAATCTGCGCCCTTGACTCGACAAATACGAGGCCGGTTCGGCAAACTCGGCTGTATTCGGCCGGTGTCATTCTTTACTCCGGGCGGTTCAGGAGGGCTTGATACTTGAGAAAAGCGTGTTCTATTATAGATCGACGCCTGTTGTTGAGACGAAGGTAAGCCGATTGTCGATAGCTGGACTTACAATTGGTAGGCCATCAATGTCATCATAGCCTGTGATAATCGCCTCCATGGCACGTTTAACCCCCATTTCAGTCTTATCATCTCCTGCAGCATCGCTCCTAGCTTCCACGTTCTCCTCAGCATTGTTAGTTACACGGCTCTCTACACTGTTAGATTTTCGGGAATGCCTGAAAATCTGCAACATCAGGCTAGTATCTGTCATAGCACTCTCTGCATCGACCAGTGTCTCCTCAGCCTTGAAGCAGTCATATCCGTCGAAGCCAGTGGCTATGAATGAAACCATGGCAACAGTATAAGTCCGTCCTGGATTAATCTCCTCCAGCTCACCGGCCTTGGGTTCGAAGAAGGCTTCGAGAACACGACTCCCTTCTGGCCTCTGCCAACTAGCCTTGAATCGCATGCCAGAAACCTGGAGAAAACGTCCATCCGTGTGAGAATCACTGACAGAATTTTCCAAGGCAGATAGCAAGGTCGCTCCACCGACTCTCTTGACAACAAATGCATTGTCAAAGGGCATGATATCTGTGCATTGCAAGTTATGAGCCATGGTTATACTTATAATTGAGCTGATGCAGTTCTCACCTATGATATCTTTGACTTTTAATGCGTTATTTCCATTAGTCTCTGCAATTATCCTGTCGCATCTCACTCCTCCACTGTTAATGAATGCAATATCAGTATCGTAGAATGCTCGGACTGCATCAGCCAGCATGTTCCCTAGATTAGTCTCCTGGCTACGAATAATCGCAGAGCGGCCATCGAGCGGCACACAAGTGTGAAGCAGCGGATGTCGAACAGCATCCATTATTTGGTTTTGAACAGATCCAAGAATTGACAACGTCTTTGAGCATTTCGGTATTTTCGGGTAGGTTTGCATCCGAGTGAGATCCAGATATTGAGTGACTATGTTTGGGGGGATTAGTATGTGCGTTTCAAATAGTGACATGAATGCAAAAGGAATATATTATTGTGTACCTTCAATATTGTCAAGCTGTGCTTTACTGTCACCTCCTTTCCGAACCTTGAGCTGTACGACGGAGTAGGATCTCCAGTCTGTTCCACTCTTGACGACTCTGACGTTACCCTCAACGTGCACTATTTCCCCGTTCCTGATTCTAGCAGCACTATCCGTTATTCCTTGGAGTATGGCCCCTGGATTATCATCGGTGTCACCCAGAATTCGACAAACAACATCGTGGTCATGTCCTCCCAGGAGTAGGTCGATACGCCCATCCCCGTCTAGAGTAGCGTTTGACACGGAAAGGTCTTCGGCAAGGCGCATGTGTGTAGCCGCGATGACGAAATCGCATCCTTCCACGGTACGTAGACGTACGGCTAGTTTATGGGCCACTTCAGCTGGGGAAAGGAACCGGGCTGGTGGTAGATGTTGGCAGTTTGACGGCCAGTCTCTGATGCAGAATATCAGCCGTCAACACCATTGTTCAATTGAATTTGACCTAGGATTTGGCAAGAAAAGTTGCTATATAGACATAAGAACTTACGTCCCAGCTAGGCCAATAAATCCAATCTTATACTGCCCCATCGTCTTAACAACATACTCCTGTGCAAGAGCAAGCAGGCTTCCATCCCTCACGTGGGAATCCGGGTTCTTATGGGGTGTTGCATGTACTACATTTGATAGTATCCAGGGAAAATTCGTCTTTCCAGACAATTCTATCAGCCGGCTTTCACCAAAGTCGAAGTCTGGAGGTTGAATTAATACTCATATCGAATATCTTCAAAAGGCATGAATGCATGGCAGAGAAATCAACTGATCGTACCATGATTCCCGTAGCACGCAAGGCCAATATCCAGATGATTGAGAACAGGAACCATATGCTCGCCCTTTAACACAGACGATTCCGTAGATGGAGAAAAGACATCTCCGCTGAAGATGGTCAGGGGTTGGATATCTGAGCTTTTACTGTCCGGTCTGGCCCGAGCGAAGACATGGGCAAATTTGGATATAAGACTCGCGTCTGAGATGTGATACTGTTGACTTTATTAGCAAACCCGAGCACGCAAGCCCTGGTCCTACATGGTAGAACCAACTCACGACGTCGTTGAAGTGGTAGAAAGTAAGGATGTCGGCCATCTTGGTGGTTGATTTGATAGACCTCACGCTGAGACGGTGCCTACCAATACTTCGGATAACTGTACAGCAATATCTCTTTAGACGATAGAAGAATAGACCAACATCACTATCTTGCTTTCTAGTTTCTTCATCGTCGTTGGAAGTTGAAGCTGATGGGACGGGAGTCAAAGAAAATTCGAGGATGATTGTTTCTCCTATCCGGTTTCAGCCACAGACGGGATCAAACCCCCTGAACAAAACAACATCAAGATACTTACATCGTGAAGTCGTAAGATGAAGCACTCAAAAAGAAGACGAAATAACAGGTGATCAACGGTAAATATGAAAAGGGCCATGAAATCCGTTAACTATCGTGACGCTGTCTCCAGAAACTCCAGGCTGAAAAGAACAGCAGACATAAAATAACCCATTCAAATCTCATGCAAATTCCCCCAGCTGAACCGCAGCTACAATCAATGCCAGTCCCCGGTCCAGTTCCAATCCCAGCGCCTATCCCAGTGCATATTTTGTCCCAGCCAAACAGTCGCAGCTAGCAAAAATAAGAAGATTGCTATTCGATCGGTCAAGTCAGCTCGTTCCGTGCAGGTTTGAGCTTCCAGGGGGACGCCTCTATGTCCCTTGAATATTTGCTGAAAGTAGGCGAATACGGCACAGAGCTTGCATCGTCTGGACACTGGATCATCTCGGCGGCCGATTTCACGTTGTTTTGCTTGCGTTTTTCTTTCCAGTAGCGGATAGCCAGAGACACAGCAATGATCAGGACACAAATGCCGAAGAACGGACCAAGGACGGTGACGAGAACTTTCCGCCTGTTGGCGCTCTCCTCGTCTACTGTGACATCATAGTCTTCACCAGCGGGGGTTGGAATCGGTAGGATGCTTGTAGGGGTAGATGGACTTTGCATCGCAGCGTGGGACGGGCTGTCAGGAGAGACCGGTGAGTTGGTGGATCCGACGAGATGTCGATATTCATATTCACAGTCAAGGAGATGAAAAGCACAATGAAGAGAGACGTGCGGAACCAGGCAGATATAAGATATTGAACATACGGAGTACAAGATCTGACAGTGCTTGATGTCCGGTTTGCAACTGATCAATAGTTTGGATGCATCCAAGCCACCAATGCACACTATCTCAGCCGAGCGATCGACTGCAGCAGAATAACTATTCGAAGATCAATTCTCTCTGCAAACTCAAGAACCAACTGAATAAGAGGCTCGAACGTCGCCTTCCTCGTTCCTCGTTGTGGAGAGGATGGTTAGACTCGTGGTGCGCACCCAAGATCCATTGACGCGGTACGGAGCATGCCCATGCTTATATATGGGCATTGGCCTGCATTGCCCCTTATAGGCATGTTCTAAGTGCCCCCCTGGGGATACAGCGTGTCTCCCTATTTTTGTGGTCTACAACCCCGTCGAAAGTGTGCATGTTATACATATTCCGTGGATGGGATGTCTTCGTCCACCAATAGCTAACCGGTTGGATGGAGGCAGGGCAGCCAGCATCATTGGCCCAAGACGCCGGCAAGGTAGGACAGCAGCCCGTTTGAGACCAGATTTGCGGAACACTCGCATTAAAGTAACAAGTTGCCAGATCTCTCGTTCGGTTCTTCCCCAGGCCAAGTGGCGGATGGATACCGCAGATTCTGACGCGAGATCGATAGATCAACATTGGGTCTGGGTTTCTAAATGTTACAGCGTCCAAATTATTGACCAGCCTGTGGTAGTTTAACTAACTGCTTGCTCGAAACCATGGAACAGGCCAGGGCAAGGAGACTGAGTCCCATCGAGAGACAAGCTGGACATCTCAAGCCTTAGTAGTTGTCTCGGTTACCCCTGAACGGACTGTCCGGCGCATCCCCAAGGGAAGTAAGCCGTATATTAATCATAGCCAACCACGCAGAGCTCGCGGAAAATTATTCGCTGGGCCAGCCATGACTCCAGGGATCAGCTCGACACTTAAGCCCCAGCCCTGTGCTCTATGGGGTTTGACCCCGGCTTATCAGCGCCCCCAGGCTGTGGCGGACTATTATTACCGCTGCTCCTCTATACAGTCTTATCGATACTGCCCACACGGAATATCGCCAGCAGAATGTCAGCATCAAGTTGGTACTTGTTTATTAACAAGAACTCCAAGCCGAAGTTCTGTTGCGATACTCCGGACTTTACGAGGGGAATGCCGGATCTCGGTGATTTTCTTCGGCTAAAAAGCTGCGGGGAAACACCCAAAATGAATACAAAGCAGAAACTATCAGATTCACTACAACGCCAGGGATGACCGGAAAGACAGACAGCTTAGCTACTGTTTTTTATTTGATAGAAAGGACAAGACAGCCTCATGATGGCGAAAGAATATCAGCTGCCCTTCAAAGTAAGCGATCTTAATATATTTGCCATTTACTCATTTACTGCATGCTAATATCGCTTAGCTGGATGACCCCAGTCTCCTCCATTTTGATTCCTTCGTGAACAATGAATGGGTTACTGCTAGCGATGGAGGTCGATTTGAAGTTGTCGGTAAGCGATGCCATCATCATAAGTATCATGAAAGTCTTCTAACAGGCTGTAGACCCCGGCACTGGTAAGCCCTGGGCCAGCTGCCCTACAAACACTGCAAAGGATGTCCCTGGCGCTGTAGAGGCCGCCCAGGCTGCTTTTGAAAAGTTCAGAAAAGTGAACCCTCGTGCCCGAGCTCAGCTGCTCATGAAATGGGATGGACTCATCCGTGAAGCTCGATCTGATCTGGCAAAGATCCTGACTCACGAAACTGGCAAGCCAATTGCCGAGTCGCTGGGCGAGATTGACTATGCCCTCGGCTTTACATGGTGGTTTGCCGGGGAAGCAGAGAGAATACACGGCACTGTTGCTGTTCCTGCTGCACCAAATCGAAGAGTTTTCACCATCAAACAGCCCATTGGCGTGGTTGCGGCGTTGGTGCCGTGGAATTTCCCTGTTGCTATGATTCTTCGAAAAGCCGGCGCTGCCTTTGCTGCCGGATGCAGCATGATTGTGAAGCCCAGCCCAGAGACACCCATTACTACACTGGTGATGGCACTGCTCGCTAAGCGGGCAGGTTACGAGCCAGGTATCTTTAATGTGCTGACCACTGACCTTGACAATACCCCTTCGCTCAGTGAGGCTCTCTGCAAGCATCCCCATGTTAAAAAGGTCACATTCACCGGCTCTACACGCGTGGGGAAGCTAGTTGCCGCTCATTGCGCACAGGGGCTGAAGAAAGTCACCCTTGAGCTTGGAGGGAACTGTCCGTTTATCGTCTTTGATGACGCCGACCTCGACCAGGCGCTTACCCAGTTAATGGCGCTGAAATGGCGTCATGCTGGGCAAGCATGTATCACAGCCAACAGAATCTATGTTCAAAGCGGAGTATACGATAAGTTTGCTCAGATGTTCAAAGAACGAACCTCGGCGCTGGTCGTTGGCCATGGTGCAAAGGACGGAACCACGATGGGTCCAGTCACTACGCCGCGAGGCCTCGATAAGGCATTGAGCCAGGTGGAGGATGCTAGAAATCTTGGAGGCAACGTCATATTGGGTGGTAAGCCGATGACTGGCTGTGAGGGTTACTTTTTTGAGCCAACTATCATCACAGACATGAAGCCGGAGATGCTTATCTCGAGAGAAGAAACATTTGCTCCCATTGCAGCGTTGTACAAGTTTGATACCGAAGATGAAGCTGTCAAGTGGGCCAACGATACAAGCATGGGTCTCGCTAGCTATGCCTTCACCAAGAATGTTGACCGGGTCTGGAGAATGCTGGAGAACCTGGAGGCTGGTATGATTGGACTCAACACAGGTAACAAATCCCTATTCAACTATCTTCACACTGAATAATGTCTAATTCCACCATGGTATAGGTAACTCATCAGCCGCCGAATCGCCTTTTGGTGGTATAAAGGAGTCCGGGTACGGCAAAGAGAGCGGAAAAGATGTTGCTGTCGCGGAATTCATGATCACAAAGACGGGAACTCTCACCATTGATGGCCAATACTGAACTTACCGGCTTATCCATTATACCCCTGAGTTTACAACGTCCTGTGTCTACTGGCTTGTTCAATTATCCCATTCTCGACTACCATTCAACAAGCATTATTCGGTTGACGAAAGGATCAGTTTTTAGTATTGATATATTTACTTACTTGATATTTCCAGAGGCTAAGAACTTCGTTTACAATCAATTTCTAGCATTACCGGCCATTCAAATAGAGTCACTTAGCAGTATGATGACTGGAGTTGACACTCTTTCTTTTCCTTTCCCCAAGCACCGAAAACAAGCTCCCTGTATGGGCTGCTACCTTCAGTTAATGTTCGAGCCACACCGTTCGGTTCACTCTGTCGGCTTCTGACGGAGCTTTTCCATCAGTATCTCCGCCATAACATTCATTACCAACTTCTCAAACTCTCTATTTTCTCCCAGAGCGTCAATAATTGGATCCAAACAAGTTGGATGCCCAAATTTCAAGTCAGCCTCGATCGCGGACTTTATCATGTCAGGATACCATCCTGAACCCCTGAAATACATATGCATTGCCTTTGCAACGTTGAGAATTTCGGGGTTTTTCCCCGAATCCATCGCTTCTTCCCGTAATTCGTGTGCTTTCTCGCTCAGTTCTGACAAGCCGTAAGTGCCTGCCGCATATATGAGGCGGAGGGCGAATTCGAAGTCTTTAATATTGTCTCCTGAAGTGTCGTGGCTGAACTCTTTGGTATACAGGTACGTTATAAACGTATGTGCAACGGATTCATGTACGTCGTTAAGCCAGATGGTCCCTTGACTCCCGCGAAATAACTTCGCTAATGTCGGATAGCCATCTACGAGGAGGTTGTGGATTGGATATCCTGTCTTGCTGTCCCCAAAGAAGATGGTACATAAAGGGGAAGTGTAGGGCCTGGGGAACAATCAGTAACTATTTTCAATCTCTAAATGTGTCAAATAATAAGTATAAGAGAACGGCATTCTTACGATTCATCTTCTCTGTGGTCTGAAGATGGCTCTGACATGCTGGTCTCTCTTGGTATGTCTCTTGGGCTGGGCGTCCTTTATGGATGTAGGCAAAACGTCTCTCTTTCCGGCAAACACTGCGTTTTGATGCTGCTGGCCAGTTCTCTTGTATGATAGAAGAGAAGAGAAAAGGAACTTTGAGTATTGAAGAATGAGGACGAGGGAATTCATGGTTTCTTATAGTTGTCCGGCAACCCTAGGGTGAGAGAAAGCTGGAATGAGCCACACAGACAAGACAACATAGAAGCTCAATTGGTGGGAAATAACAGCTAGAAAGGGAGAATATCAAGCCTGGAGTAGAATGATATTTCCATAAAAGTTGGGAGAATATTTGGTATGAAAGAAAAATGATCCAGATCTCGAAGATGTTTCATTATTTCTGTTGGTTCTATAAAGGGCGTTTTCTCCTTTATACCCAACATTCATCCACTCCTCGATCAACTTTGGATATTGGTCCCCTTTCTTTGTCAACTAGTAACCATCTTTGATTTTTTTTAATGTTTAGAATTATTATTTTGATACAATATTTAAATAAATAATATATAAGGAATTTAGCCTCATTATGGGTTGATGGATAATGAATGAAGTTCAATATTTGATAGTTACCAAATATTATCTGATCAGATTGGTTATGGCTATTTGCTCACTCTGCGATAAAGCGTAACCAGTGGTATATTCTCGCCTTGGGTAGAACAATGCTAGCTAGAAAAGTACATTGCTAATGAAGCGTTACAGGCGGAAAATCAATGACAAATGAAATGGTGAGCTCCATGCTCTAAGGAACCATTCTCCGTCGAGTTTTATCTTGTTCGATAAATTGACTAGAAGTCACCAACCCCAGTTTTCCTTGCTCTGTGTCCATGCAATTTCTTCAGTATCGTCAGTATGCATAGATCTGTACATTTTCCCCATAACCTGGGCCAAAAGCCGGTCAAATTCCGGAGAGTGCCCAATGTTTTCAAGAAAGGCGGAGCTCTCATAGAAAGAAGAGTTGCCTTCAAATGTGGCTTCAAGGACGATTTGCACCTGCTTGTGAAGCCAGTCCATATCGTCTTTGAAATAAGCCAGGTTCTCTCGGATATGATCCATAAAGATGGCAAGTGGAAGCCACTTGTAATGATCCTTCATATGAGTCTCAGCACCAATTTTTAGGGAGAAGAACTCATACTGTTTCGCAACAGCATGTACGCGAAGGCTGCGTTTCAATTCCAAGAGTGCCTTGCAGTATCCAGGATCATTCCAAGTAGAATGGTAATATTCACCGCAGCCTACATCGTAGGTCCCAGCGCAGAGGCAGTGGAAGAATACGTGAGCTACCTCTTTGTCAAATGACAAGTCGGTGACTCCGTCTTGATTTTCCTTGCGGAGCTCAGTCAGGGCCGGCAGTTTGGAGATGAAGCCCTCTGGCACTGAGAAGATTGTGCCATCCGAGGTGCGGAACATGGCAGGCTTCGAAGCATAGGGGCTTTCTCTGTCAGGAAGATTAGACCTCTAACTTGTAACAGAGCAGGACAGCGTCTGATGTATTGGCATCCAACCACTCACAAGAAAGTTCCTGGTGGCTCGGGCTCAGTTTCAACCTCTATCCAGGCATCCTCCTTTGGCTCTTCCTTGGGGTGGGCCATGGTTCCGGGCACTTTTGGCAGACAGTACTTTTCAAACATTAGCACGCTAAACAGATAACAGAGCTGCCTGCTTGGGTAAAGAGACAGTAATGAATTACCTGCTGTGTCCCTTATTTTGGAGGTAAGAGGCGTCTTGCTTGTCGAAGCATGTAGGGGGTTGATTGTAGGTTGTAGCTGAGAAGAAGTTGAAGGTGAAGAACCAGCGTATTTATACTACCAAATTTCAGCTCACTATGTGACGGGAACTTCTGCCAACAAAAAGTGAGAGAAGCATCTAGAGAGCCCTTGAGTGTGGTATCAAGGCATAGATAGGGCATTCTAAGGCAGGTAATATTCTGGTATAACCAGGCTGGCCTTGGTGGTTAGGGCATCTTTGACCGGCTTCGATATCAGCCAATATTCAAGCCTCTATCTATACCACGCGCTCAACTGAGCTATCAGGTATCATTCCATCATCATCATAGAAGAAAGTAGATTAACATTCTTCTAGGCTGGCATTCAGGTATCTATCGAGCTTGAATGGGGTTAAACCCGCTTCTCATCTGCCTATAGGCGTGTCTGGCAGTGAAAGCCCAGCAACGACTCCCACCAACATTCACCCATCTCATCTCAGGCTAGAGAAGATCCTCCAGGTCGATACCACCCGCCGAACACGTTCTAGACAGGAAATTATACCCATCAGAGGTCTGTTCGCCAGCTGGTGGATAACTACTGCATGGATCTGAAGCTCGCGCTCGAGCTGGAGCCCGGAATATGCAATCTGCACCCCAGCTCCTCTTTTCAAAAGCAAGAGGCCGGCGACAGAGACTTAATTAAGGCTGCAGTAGTCCGTGGAGACGCGGTGGAGAACTCGATGCAAGCCGTTTTCTCGTGTTTATTTATATATATAAATATATATCAAACAGCGGGCGATGCACTGGCGGTGTATACGTCGTATACAGCGCCGTATCGCAACCACCAAGCGTGTTTCCAAAACCGCAGGCATTCAGCATGAAGGAGCCCGGACGGTCAGTCACGCGGGTGTTCGGCCGTCTCATTCGCAATACTATGTATAACTACATGAAGCGGAGACCCCAGGACGGAAGGATGAAAGCGAAAGGGGAGGGCTGGTTGAGGATTTTCAGGATGCATACTGCTCTCCGAGCTACTCCGTACAAACGTCGACGTGGGGGTCTGGTCAGTCCCTGAGACGAGCTTGCATTGATTGAGGGCAGGCCAGAGGCATACGGAGCAGGTATGCAACCAATTTCTTGAAGAAGAAAAAGGTCACAGCATGCATGATCCGCGCTGCCACCCAACCATGGTTTACTCGCCGCGATCCCGCCTGTCATGGTCCAAAACCTTCAGAGCCTCCCCCCAGCTGGCTTGAGGATAAGCATAAGGTACAACGGAACCGTGGATCCAAAAGGACCAGGAGAACTCCTCGTCCCGAGCTCCCCAAAAGCTAATTACCATGTCGAACAAAGGGCCGTCGCAAAAGAGGGCGATGTTGGCTGGCTACAGAGAGTGGCTACCTACCAGCGGACCGTGTGGCAGGGGGGGGTCAGAACGCAAGATACGGGATGCACCATCAATGCGAGACAGGGTGCCCAGTCACATGGAGAACAAACACAGGCAGCGCGGAAGGTTGCTCTCAAATTTCCCTCGGTATTGTCTACCAACTGTGCCCCGGCGGGCCAATCAACAGGGTGTGAGATTCTAGCTCGAACCCAGGGATTTGATTCCCCTCTTCTGGAGCCTTGCTTGGTACAGAGTACACTTGATACACTTCCAACATGAATGCCAAAGCTTACGGTACATACCTACTTGGGAGGGAGCCTGTCGAAATCAGCCCATACACCGTATAGTTACGTGTTGTGGGAACATTTGCTCACCCGGAGTTTTGGCCTATGTGACCCGGACAGGTGCATGGCGGGCTGGCGGATAGAATTGCGAAGATGCATTCCAGAAAAACGAGCCATTATTATCCATGAATCAAACGACGAGCGATTAAAGGATTCCGTTTGATACGCCGTTTCCCTCGTCATCGTTGCGTACTCGCCCGCATGTACCGAATATGCCATGGGTCGCACATATCCTTTGTGACCGCATCAAAGGGGGCAGACATCCGGCCGTGGGCAAAAAAAGGGGGTGAGAGGGGGGGGAGCCTGAGGAAACATGAGAAGAATTCTCTGCCCAACAAGAACTCGACAGGATCTGTCTCTTCTTTTAAACTGTCAACGCCTAGAATCGACTGATAGCAGACCCAGCATGATGCAATAATACGTCGAGCTAGTTAGCTACAAGAAAACTCCGTTTGAATCTAGCTGGCTTCGAGGAGCTCGACGGGCGGACGGTGGATCCCCCAGGCCCATCCGATGGCTCTCTCTGGGTCTCCTCTGGCTCTGGCTCTCTCTCTCGTCTCTCCCAGGCCCAATTTTTTTTTTTCTCCTTTTCTTTTCTTTTCTTTTCCTGGGTCTCGTCTCGTCTCGCTCGAATTCGACTAGGGCCTGGCTGGTACATGAATACAATGCTCGTACAGATGCACACTTAGAGACATTCGTACATTGCTGTACAGGAAGACGCAGCTCCCTGTCTGGCGTGCCGTCTGCCGCTCTCTCTCCTGTATGGCTGGCTGCAGGGTGCCCATCTTCGTCTTGTGTCTCGCGGCTGCAGACATCAAATCGCCCGGCAGATGACTGGCTGCTGAGGATGGGAAACACCGGGGGGGCTCCTTGTCTGGCCCCCTCCTCTCTTCCGTCTCCTGGTGCGTTAGCTTGCTGCATCTCGACCGCCTCGGGCTAGGTTCCATGCTGGATTTATGGCGATAAACCCGTTTCCCGCCAGAAAAATAATAATAACAGCAATAAAATAGCACGCTCCATTAAAAATCGAATCTGCCAATCTGCGGCCAACTGCTGTCCGGGGGGCCTGGTTCCGTCTCGCCCTGATTTCTATATCACCCTCCCTCGCATCGATACTTTATATCTACCTCATCCGCGTCGACCATTACTCCCTGCGGCTCTCTTCGCCCTGTTCTCCCTTCCATTCGCCCTGCCCTCTGCTCCATCTAGCATGCCTACGCCATCTGTGCCCTACAACACCCATTTTAGCCCGTCTTGACAAGTTTTGACCCTGTGTTGAGAATTGAAGCACTTCCTGCGCGCGGCATGTTGTCTGAGCCTAGACGTTATGTGGAGGAGAAAGATAGAACTGAGATAGATCTCCAGGGGTTCGAAACAGGTTCGCCTTGCCAACTATCCTTTTGTTTAAATTTTTTTTTTTATTTATTTTATTTTTTTTTTTTTTTAAAAAAAATTTCTTTATCAATGTATATTCTGTATATTGTGGTCGTTCTTTATTTTAACACTTCTTCTTTAGCCCTTGAAGCTCTGGACAAAGAACTGAGCAAAGATGCCTTCATAACCGCCTTCGCTCCCATTCAACTACTCTGCTCGGGCGAATTCCTCTGTCTTAAATATCTCAAGTGCCGTGACACTGCCTTCGAGCTCGACTTTCTCCTCGACCCTGAATGGTCTAAAGATGAAGATATCAAGACCCCCCTTTACGCCTCTATGGCCACAATCACCCACGAGCTAGGCTACGATGAAGAATGGCTCAACGAAGACATGGGCCTCTTCGTGACCAAGAGCTGCCGCACCCGGCTTTTGGAATGCGCAAAGAAGCAAGGTATTGTCCTGTTCCGCGGCGAGAGTGTTATCATCTACGGTGCACCAATGGAGTGGGCCCTTGAGCGCAAGATCAGACGTATCTACGCCTCTGGGAAACTCGATAAAAGCGAGCCAGACGTCGGGGATGCTCTCGCTATGATGAAGTGGATTCGTGAGAGAGACGGCAAGCAGCTGGAAAGGGAGTTCATCCGCACTCTGAACTTGAATACCTTTGATATGGTTCCAGATGGTCAGACCATGGAACTGCTTGCTGAAGCGTATCTTGAACGATACGGAGAGGAGATATTCAGGCCTGGCAGCCATCTTCACTATGACTATCACCACCACCTTACCTATGACCAAATCTATCCAAACCATCCAAACAACCAGACGAACTTTTCCATTCTTTACGGCATACCGGGCAGATCATCTTTGGGCTGAGTCTCTGAATCTTTTTGCATATTTTATTATTATTATTATTATTATTTTCTTCTAACTGTTTTTGTTACACCGTCGTGTGGACACTGTCTTTTCCCCCCCTTACTTTTTCCTTATTCTCGGTACCTGGAGAGCCCGAAAAAAACAAAAGAACACTCGCTCATTTCGAACTTATCTAATTTAATTTATGATCTTGTTAACGCTTAGTCGACTGTGTATGTATTGCCTTAAGGTATTATACGGCCTGCACGTACATCCCGATGGCTCCGATAGAGACTTGTCAACAACGAGACATGAGGTATAAATGCCCACTGTCACACCGTAGCATCCTAAGAGTACATCATTCTCTTCTCAACCAGCCTCGCCTGGGGTCGTCTCACCATTTACACCGCTCACAAGCTCTTGGATTGAGTGACTTGCAGCCTGCTGTGTCCGATTGGCAAATACTGGCTCAAGCCAACCAGGAATTTGGTACCCTAATGCCACAGATAAGGATCTCCCTTGTCATCATTATTAGGTTAAAAACAGTCCCTTTTTTTCACTTCGATCAACGGAAGTATTGGCCCAATAGAAGCGAGGTTCACACAGCAAGAGCATGACTAGATCAGATATCTGGCGCGTGTTTTCTGACCACAGAAACGTCTGGTGGGCTCGAAATAACCCGCCTGGCTGAGTTTCCCGTAACTATATCCCTGACCAGACGGCGATTCGATGATGCATTGAGCCAGCCAGTAAAGATATGCCATTGCATCTCCTCCCCCTCCCCAAGGTCCATCGCAGTCCAACGGGAAGAATCCACCCCACGATCGAGAACTCGGCCAGATGGGGATTCCGCTCCATTCCGGGTATTATCATCCCCACAGTACCACCACCACTCCCACCACCTTAATGGCAGTGTATGTATATGTAGAGGGAGGGAGGGAGGGGGGCGAATGGCAAGGGATGTACGGAGATGTGCAAGAGAAGCGCTACATACAGGCCATGAGACACGGTCTACGTGTCAGTGGGAGCCTACATGCAGTGTTTGACATGGTAAGACCCAGATTTTATTCTTCCATTTCCCCAAAGGGCGCAGCAGCATGAGCAGTGAAGCACTCGCTTGCACCATGGATGCAGGATGGATGCAGGAAGTAGCTTGACTAGCCCATGCTGCTATCCGCACTATTTATCTGCCTCAGCGTGATCGTCGGAGGCAGCGTTGGTGCATATTGATGGCCCTGCTGCGTTGGCCGTGACTAGCTCTCCATGCTGGCCGGCTCTCGTTGGCCATCCTGGTGCGATGCAGTGGGTATCGTTCGTCGTTGCTGCCAGCTAACTAGCACCGCTCATCATGAAACCAAGCAAACGATAGTAGCCTTTCGGGAGCCCTGGAGCCGTCGAAACAAGGCGGATTGGCAAGCGTTTAACCAGACGGATCGAGAGATAGCGTTATGCTCCCGCCGTCGCACAGCGAACTAGACTGCTAGTTATGCGAGTCTGTGACAACTCCGGCTCGCAAGGGTATCCCTGATCGAAAAGAAGTGCCCTAAAAGCTAGAGTCAGCGCCAGCACAACACGGAAACGAGAACGAATTGGGAACACAACATATGTCACCATGTCACCATCCTGTCTCTGCAGGTAGCCATCGTATTGAGCGTCGCTGGTGTTGATACCGAGCGGCCGTCGATATATCTGTTGCTGGTCGACGTTAAGTCGTTGAGGTTGGAGGTTGCATCTTTCTGAGCCAACCAGCGTCCGACTCGCTGTTTTCCTTCAACTAACTAGTTAGTTACCTTGCTTGCAACCTCAAGCCACGACATCGAGCATTTGACAACCACCAACACCAGGCCAGACGAGACGAGACTCGATGGCAGACGTTCAGGCCCTGAGGCGGCTTATCCAGACGCACCCGCTCATCGACAACCATGCTCACAACATCCTGAGCGCTGAGTATGCGGCAGACTATGGCAGATACCCGCTGGAGAGCATCGCCTCCGAGGCCCAGGGTGACTCCCTGCTGAAGGATGGATGCAAGTCCCTCCCTCATTTCCGGGCCATCAGCCAGCTGGCAGAGCTATATGGCTGTCCGGTTGAGCTGAATGCTGTCAAAGCTGCCAGAGAAGCGGCTATTGCGGCTGATTACGAGGAGCTGGTGAAGAAGTGTCTGCATGGAACCCATTTGCTCCTCATTGACGATGGCTTGGACATAAGCCATTCGGAATCCTTTGAGTGGCATGACCGGTTTACCCCCGGATCCACGAGGAGGATTGTCCGTATTGAAAGCCTGGCTGCCTCTATCTTGAAGATATTGCTGCAAAGGACCTCTGGTGATGAGCTCCTTTTCGATACCCCGGAAACTGGAGACAACGGTGATCTTATCTTTGGAAAGTACCCTTCCTCCCAACTTCTAACCATATTTGAAGTGGCCTTCAAGAGCCGGATTAAGGGGTACCTAGATGATGTGGACATTGCTGGATTCAAGTCAATCATCTGCTATAGATCCGGCCTAGCTGTGAAGAAGCCTTCAACCAAGGATTTATTGCAAAGTTTCAGTTCCTGCTTCCAGTCAATATCGACAGATGGCAGCAGCCGAATCGATAGCAAGCCGTTAAATGACCACTTGGTCGTGACAGTCCTGAGTATACTCCATCAATATCACCTCACCACAGGAAAAAGCAAGCCAATCCAGTTTCATACTGGTTTAGGAGATTCCGACATAGAACTTAGTCAGTCTGATCCCGCTCTTCTTCAACCCGTCATCGAGGAGTTTGAAGCCGTCGACTTTGTTCTACTTCACTCATCGTATCCCTTTACACGCCAGGCAGGATACTTGGCCAGCTCTTATAAAAACGTCTACTTGGACCTAGGAGAGGTATTCCCCATGATCAGCAGGGATGGCCAGATCTCAGTCGTTCGTCAAGCTTTGGAACTGGTGCCTACATCTAAACTTCTCTGGAGCACTGACGGCCACTTTCACCCAGAGACCTTTTGGCTGGCCAACCTTCAGTTTAGACAAGCGTTGGAATCAGTATGAGCTTCCAATCCAATTTCTCTCTTACTACCAGAAAATCGCTGCTAAAAGATGACCCTTCTAGGTTTTCACCGAGTATGTATACAAGGGAGACTTTACCGTTGACCAGGCCATGACCTCGGTTGCGGACATCCTGTTCAACAATTCCAATGAACTGTATAATCTAGACCAGACAGTGAGCTATGAAACTATTATGGATCTGCAGCGGGCTACAGAGTCATCTTTTCCCGAACTGTTTGCTCACAGGCCATCAGAAACCATCATGCAAACGGGCCAAAGATTCATGGCTGTCTACAATACTATTGACTATTACTGGCTTCAATTTGTTGACTATACAGCCACTGTGCGCGTTCGAATGCTCCCTGCCCGCCAATTCTATCGTATGCTACAGGGAAAATCCATCGGGATCACAATGGCTCTTATGAATTTGCTACAGAATGACACATTAGGCGAACCAGGCGCTTTGACAGCCGGCCAATTTCTCCTACGGCCCGACGTTACTACTCTATCTCCTAACCTTAAAAGATCTGGCAACCCTAATAGTGCAACAGTAATGACCTTCTGGAAGAATTCAAATGGCAAACCCCTGGAAGGATGTCCACGGCATACCCTAAAAAATTTGACTGACAAGTGCAAATCGGAGTTTGGCATTTCTCTACTTATCGGCTTTGAAGTAGAAGTAGTGTTGTTCATGAAACCGTCTGGGGCTAAACGGGACCATTGCTACAACTATCTCGAGGATGAAGATTATTTCACTCCCTGGGTCCTTAATCATTCATGGTCAAACATGACATCTGACACAAGAACAGCGCTGCCCCTTGTGGAAGAGATAGCCTCTGAGCTTCTATCCTTAGGTATTGAAATTGAGCAGTTCCACGCGGAGTCGTCTCCAGGTCAGTTTGAATTCGTCCTTCCTCCATCTCGGCCACTGGCTTCAGTCGATCTCCTCATTAGAGCACGACAAGTCATCGTCACTGTTGCTGAAAGGTATGGCGTTCGCGCAACGCTATACCCTAGACCGTCTCCGAACCATGCAGGGACCGCATCGCATGCCCATATATCAGTCTCACCAACCACGCATGAGAATTCCTTCCTAGCTGGGATGTTAGAGCACTTCCCATCAGTGTTGGCGTTCACTTTCCCTCAAGATGCATGCTATGCGCGTGTCTTACCTGGTATCTGGGCCGGAGGCATATGGGTTGCATGGGGAGACCAAAATCGCGAAACTCCTATCCGAAAAATCAGCGAGGGGCACTGGGAAATAAAGTCCATGGACGGTATGTCGAACCCGTACTTGGCTATGGCAGCAGTTATTGGCGCAGGATATCTGGGCTTGAAGAACCGGATGGAACTGAAAGTCAAAGCTTGCAATGGTATGTTTGTATCCGATAACCTTTCATTCAAAAAATGGATGCACGTAGCTAATCGGGGTATGTGACTGTAGTCGATCCTATGGACTTGAATGATGACGGGCGCAAGGAGTTGGGAATAACTACTGCCATGCCCACGTCCATCGATGAGAGTATTGCGGCCTTGAAGGCTGATACTGAGTTCCAGGAGCTATTGGGCAAGGTCTTTGTTAAACGATACATCGCTGTTCGACAAGGAGAGCAGAGGTTGCTCAACAGTATGAGTGAGACCAAACGGCGAAACTGGTTGATTGAGAAGCATTAGGATGAGTGATTCTTAAATGTATGGACAGAAAACGGTGGTGATTTCGGTATTTACGCCTTTGACGTATTTGATATTTTCTTCTATCTGATAGAATTAAGAAAACCAGATAAAATAGGAGGTAGGGGTAGGTAAGCATTCTGATAGATGGGTTGCAAAATATAACTCCTGTTAAAACCAAGAAAGAAGCACAGATGATAGATTGCAAATATGTGCGTATCCAACGTCATCTAAAAAAGATAAGGATCGTAAATTCTTCAAACATAACACTCCACCAGAAACATCAAACTCGCTTGCTATAAAAAGCAGGTATCGTAAGAGACAATATGAGAACGTAAATGTAAATCACAAACCACAACAACGCTCAGGAACATAACGAGGTGAAACGGAGTCTAAAACTTCTCCATCAAATGCTTTCTGACGGTCCACATGCGGGCCCGTTTGCCGTAGATATAGAGGGGAATCGTGAACAGCATCAATGCAAGATGTATGCCACCCAATGCAACGAAGACATCTTTAGCTCCGTCAGCTTGGAGCCACTGGACGAAAAAGAGAGAGAAAACGAATCCATGAAGCACGTCTGTAATAACCATTAGTCAGTCGGGAAAAAAAAAAGGTGAAGCGAAGTAAGACTTACTTTTGCTGAAGTTCAGCGTCACCAGGGCCTCACCGGCATATTGACGATAGCTGTCCACACAGTAGGTAATTGATGTGGTACTTCCAAGAGTGCAGCCAAAAGACAAGATACCGAAGAAGACAGTGGGCACAATCCAGTTATCTTTCTCCTGGGCACTCCATCCAAAGCCCATTAGGCCAATGGTAGTTGCTAGTGTACTTGGAAGGCCCATTACAAGACGGAATTCGGGTTCGTAAACGCCTCCATTTCGACGGGACATGAATCGAACAATGACATCCGACACTCTTCCGGCCACAATGGTACCTAGAATGCCAGCGACGAAGGGGGAAATATATACCAATCCGACTTGCAAGGGGGTGAAGTTGTAAGTATCGCGTTTGGCGTAGATCTCTGCCACCGACTCTGAAAGGACGATGAGCCATCCGACTGAGAGAGCATAGACCATGGACGACCAGAGGACAGCAGGATAGGCAAAGAGGATAAGTGGGCGGGCCATGACGCGGAACCAGTTATCTTTGGCGATTCTGCCATTCCATGGCTTCAGCGACTGGATGAAGCTGACTTGCGGTTTGGCACGCAGATTACTGGTGTAAATCTGCTGTTGAGATAGTTGAATAGTGGGGTCTGCCTGGTCTCTGGAAGCTGGAATGGACCGCTGGGCCTCGGGATCGACCACTATGGCGGGAATGGGAGATTGTGCGATATCCTTTTCGGCCATTACTTCGGGGGTATCCTTCTCGATCTCCGCCTTTTCATCTTCAGCGAAGCCAACATGGGCATTTTTATGCTTCCTTGGTGTAATAGCGCCCAGCTGCCTGTCTACTTCCTCTATTCCAGGAGTCAAAGCGCTAGGTGTTACCGCACCAGGAGTGACAGGTTGTGAAGACCGACCTCGAAGGGTATGTACAATGTCAGACATGCTTCTTCGCATATGAGGTCTCTTCGCACGGGGACGTGGAGTCCTGTCCCAAAAGGTCTCGGGGACAAAGAGGAATACCAGGATTGCACTGAATCCAGTGGTGATAGCAACCATCCTATGGAAGTTAGTTTATGCATCCATGATAAGTAGGAGAAATGGAAAAAAGCAAGACATACCAAAAAATCCAACGCCATCCTAGGCTGTTTGTGATTGCAGCACTGACGAGAGGAATCAAATTCTTTCCTCCCAAAAGCAGTAATGTATATACTCCGACTCGGTATGCACGTTCATGTAAGAAATAGATCTCTGCAATGGTGGCGGATGGGAGACATTCGACCGGGCTAACGGCTAAACCCTGGAAGATGCGGGCAATAACAAGGCTGACATATGAAGGAGAAACAGCACACCAGACTGCAGAGATAATAAACATGGTGGCTCCGGCAATGTAAACCGGACGTTTACCGTATAGAATGGCGGTAGGCGACATGACGACCGAGCCGAGACCGAGACCCAGCATGTAGAGTCCGGTGGTCAAGGCGACCTTGTGGAAGCTTATGCTGTACTCTGCCGAGACTTCGTTGTATGCAGCGGCCAGGATAGGCGTCATACCGCCTCCAAGCATGCAATAGAAGCCCAGACAGAGCATAGCAAGGTCTCGCCGCCACACCGGCCAGTTGAGGGGGTCATTCATGGACTCCTCTGGCTGAGGATCCAGGACTATAGCTCCATCTGCAGTCCGCTTTTTGGGCGGTGCAGGGCCGCGTGAGGAACCTCTGGATGGAGGGTATGGTGAAGGAAGGGATGTAGCGGAGGTCCGAGCCGGTGTATTTCGAAGGCCGAGCGGCTCATTTCTCTTTGCAGCGAGCAGCAAGATGGTTCCTGTCTAGCGTGTCAGAAATTGCCATCAGCATCAAGGACGAAGAAACAGTAGACGTACCTGGCACTTCATCGGTGTGTTTATCACTGAGGATGCCCATCGACCATTTCTCCCGGTGAGCCCATCTCTCCTCCAGGGCCTGCGAATCCTTGCCCTTTAGGCCGAGATACCTTGTCCACTTGATGCCTCCGGGCTTTGGAGCCGCCTCTTCTTCCTTGCTGAGATCCGATTGAGCGGGAGAAGCCCCTGCTTGCACCTCGTCCGCCATCTGAACTCTCTGGCTACCTCTGTCCATCCCGTATCAACTAGAGCCGTTATATGGGTAGGTGGTGTACAGTACGAGAGGACCAGCTCTTCGTGTCTGCTGCACCGTCAAGTGGCAGGCAATAATATATACTCCGTGCTGTAGAACTGACCTTCCAGCCTCGTGATATGTCCACTGATCCGGCCTACCAGCTCTCGTCTGGCGCGGTCGAAGCTCGTTTTGGGGATGGGGGAGGGAGGCGTAGTTATAGGATCCTTCAAGCAAGGGAGGCAAAGAGCAAAAACGGCCGCTAGAAACCTCTCAGACGGAGACTCCTGCGCGGTCTGCAGCTGTCAGTAGCACGCACGAAGGCCAGGGACGATGTCAGAGCAGACGAGGCCATTCTTTATATGCTGCTGTCCCGTCTCCCGTCCGTCGTTGAGGTCGGTCGTCGTTCGCTGGCGGCTGCTGGACCCAGAAAAAACGCCGGCCATGTGACCCGCGACTTAGTCAGTACCTCCCGCTCCCGCCAGCCTTAGCCCAAAGCGGAAGTACCTCGGAAGTCACTCGCGCTGCTTTTTCCAACCTCACCTCAGCTTCTACAGACAACAACCCATAAGATACATAGTTGACTAGCTATGTAGCAGCCCGAATTGCGGTTACGACTACGGCTACAGCTCCTCGCAGGTGGCTTGCGCTGCTCGTGGCCCGGGAATCGAGAGTTGACGTATCGGGCGTCCCCTCCCTGCCCCTTGGCGCAGGAGGACGCACGCGTGGATGCTGGTGGCCACCGCGAATGTCTCTCCTCTGCCCTCGCTATCTCTGTTCCCCGGCTCCGCTTCGAGGCCACTTCAAGACAAAAGAGACGACGCTGGAGACGGCCGCTGCACATGGGAACCCGGATGGCTGCCCTCCACCAGCCGTTCGTTGCCCAATGGCGACCTGTCCGATGATATCATAACGTCACCATGCAGTGCTCGAGCAGCCTTAACAGCCCTTTTTATGTTGTCGCCAAGGGCGTTAGGGACCCCCAGGGGACGCATGGGACGTTGGCTAACGCTGCGAAAAGGAGTGAAAAGGGCTGTTGCTTCGATCGACAAGCTTAGTTCTTGTTCCTTCCGTCTGCTGGACGCCCAGTTAGAGTTGGTCGTGTTTGAGAGGAAGCAGAGCCGACGGGTGCAGCTGAGATCCGCGTTCGTGGCGGCCACCGGGACCGCGAGGTTTGCGAGGTTTGGTGGCGGCTGCTGCGATCAACCTGGTTTTTACGAGACTCACGATAACGCTTCTTGTTGTCTGATTATTTAGCCCTCCGAGTGTGGAGTGTTCAGGCTTCTGGGCATGTAGCAATTTGTGGGGGATGTACACCTCCACCTGCTCAGCTGGACGGGTTATGTTCATCTAATTAGCTATCAGGAGTCCCGTTTTGTCCCCAAGTTATGGAATGCAGCTCCCAAAAGCAATAACTGACCGAGCATCTCGCGATAACAGAGATACACAATCAACATGAAGGCTGTTTCAGTTTTAATGCTAGTGCTGCGCACGGTGAAGGGGCAGCCTATGATATCATACCAGCTTGCACGAGGTGACTATGGGGAACAGATTTCGGGATCGATATCATCGTCCTTCCCTCCCCCGTCTCCCTTATCTTTTTCACATCTGCTAAGCTACGCTGCAACCTTATATCCTGCCGACATAGTCGCAATCGTCACTCACTACCTCATTTATATAAAAAGTTGTTGTTTATACAGTTAAACTACTCGATTATGTGAGACGGTACCAAAGTTTTCGTGTGAAGCCGTGGTTCCCGCCCATGGCTAAAAACTTATACCCTAAAATGACGTCCACGACTTCATGCTGCCGGAAAGACACCGGGAAAAGCCAGAAAGTGGCCGATGAAGTCGATATGGACGCTCTTGCACACATTGCGTCCAGTTCATCAGGTCTTCCCAGAGCAATCCGAACGCTGCCATGGGGAAGTTGAACCAGGTGCTAGATGTTATGCAATATGCAGAGAAAGAGCTTACAAAGTTGAGCCTCATTGCTATATTATGCATCGATGCTCTACCATGGTTCTATCCAGCGCCGCCCCTTTTCGCTCCCAGGAAATACGCGCTCAAAGATGTCATCGACTTTTTTCTTGGGAGCATTGGATTCTAGCTATGGCACCATCTCATGGCTCGTTATGACAACATCCATCATGAGCGAGGAGAAGGGATTTATAAAATTCCTCTTCTCCTGTAATTTTCAACCTGACATCCTTCATCTCCTTTCATCTTTTGTTTATTTCTTTCAAGTATGACTGATACCACCTAAGCTTCGTCTATAAAGATATACCCTAGACTACCTACCTGGTATCAAGAGCAGAGTTTTCAAAAAACAATCACATCGAAAACATACAAACATTAGTCTATATCAAGATGACGCGCGCCCGTGACATCGACGAAATCTTCAATGTAGAGGCTCTTGAGGGTATCAACTTGTCCATAAGTGCCCCATTCCGCAAACTCTCCAATCGTCTCTTCAATAGGAAGAAGAAGAAGAAAAATAGAGAGGAGCGGGCCTATGATGAGACACCTGGAGAGGAAGTAGCTGGGGAGTCTACTCCCGACAAGCTCATGAAGTCTGCCTCTGATGAAGAAGAGAATGATTATCTCCCTACTCTCAAGAAGCTTGCTCCTCCAGTTGATAGTGTACACCCGCTCAGGATCATCGAAGGACCGGACGGGCCTATTTTGCCGCACAAGGGCCCCGCAGGATATCGCCCTGGTGTCCACCGGGCGGTAACTAGGGTCATCATCGAGGCCCATCAGCGTCCCGATCCAGGACCGTCTTACCCGACGCTTCCTGGCTCCAACCTCCCTTTTCCTCGCCTTCCGCGCCCACCTGTGACTGCTACCTCTGCCCGAGCTGCTGCGGTTGGCCCAACATCAGCGACTTCGGCTGTTTCTACCCCGTCTCCTCCGTCTTCGCCCGAGGTTCCCCAGGCCATAAAGGTCGTATCCGAACATCCACCTGTTCTCGACCTTCCTCTTCCAGGCTCGGCCTTTAGCATGCAGGACCTCTCTGATATTTTCAGGGCCTTGGATTAATGTTGTTAATTTCATCACTGCTATCTTGTTGTCTTCCGCTGTGCATTGTATGTCATGGACTGGCATTGGCGTTTAGGTGTCGGTTTAATCCGTTTTAACCCTTGTATATAACTACGGTGATGGTATGTATTTTACTTGGTTGGATATTCAGAAAGGCACGAGGGAAAGGGGGAAAAAATGGTAAATATATCTATTCGCTTTGCTTATGATCATGGAGGTGAATATGCTATGGCTCATTCGTATGCGTTCGAATACAGGAGACCCCGTATTTCATCAAGAATTCATTTTGTCTGTCATTGAATCCACTTCCTCAACTTCGTCATCAGCTTCATCCTCACCTTCTTGTAGACCATAACGCCCCTTGATAAACTCCTTCGTAGTCTCCAACGTCTTAAGCACCTCCATCGTAATCATAGGCTTCATCAACGCAGACTCATGCAGGCCTGCGTCTACCAGCTTGGCTGATTCCTCACTGAGCGGGTATCCACCCCAAGTCGGTATACCCCCTTCCTCTGCCTCAGCGAAACACATCGCATCCTCGTCCTCAAGGGAATACGTGTAGGTCTTCCCTCCATCCTGGATAAGCTCTTCATTCAGTTTTTCGGGAGGTCGTGGACAATTGTCGTTATCTATATTATTATTGTCATTAGGAACGAAGGCCACAGACCCTTCCGGTGAGCTGATGCTATCTCGCTTGGCCTTAACAGAGCGCCTGATAGCTTCGATAGCCTGCTTATTCTTTAATATTACTTCTGCTCCAGGGCTCCTCCGACTACGTGAGTCAGTAAACAGGCCCAATCCTATCCTTTCCACTACTAACTTTGGTATTTTGCCCCCATTTTCAACCCAGAATGCCCCAAGGAGATCGGTGTCCGGCATTAGACCAGTATAACATCTTTTATCACCCGTTGCGAGTATCCCATCAATGAACTGCGCCGCTGCAATCCTCGCCGTTTCCTCGCATACAGACCCACCCTGGCATATTGGCACAACGAAGTCGTCAATATGCCAGACGCCGTCGTATCCTAGCGCCGCTTTTGTCTCGGGGTAGTTCCACTTCCCTTTCGTATACTGTAGTAGCCTAATCATAGACTGTCGATGGGGTTGGTTACAAGGAGAATTTTCAGCATCACGTCTAAAGGAGATCGGACAGTGAACCAACGTCGTTGCCAACACACGCTTCGGACAAATACAACAACGGAATTCAGCGGATGCCATGATGAATCGTTCGTGGAAAGATGCTATCATCTGGTACGGCTCTGGATCGTGGCTAGCATTTGCAGCTGATTCTAGAAGCCCGGCTTCCCATCGAGAAGTAAACACAAGACATGTTAAACGGCCGGCATCGACCCCAGTCGCTGTTGCGCCTTGACTCCGGTTCAGTATCGGCTGGCCGCATAATACCGTGTATCGTAAAGGAACTCGCTCGTGCAGGTGCATTCTCGTGGGACTGTGACCTGGAATACTAGGAACAGGTGGCTCGTTTGTAACAGCCTCATCGCCGCTATCAGTAACGTCGTCGTCTTCCCATTCATCTGCCTCGATTGCATCCCGGAACATAGCCATATCCGTGGCGAATTTGGAGCTACAAGTCGACCGACGGTGCAGGAGCGGCCCAGCCGAGCGGTTCTGCTCGTCCTTTGTCCTTTCGTCGCTATCATAGTCATTATCATCAGTTTTTATTTCTTCTGGAGCTGGGGTATCATCGAATCCAAAAGCCTTTAGAAACCTCGCAACCTCCAAGTTGGCCTCCTTTCGACAGTTGTCCTCCGCTGAGCATACTGGCACGGCTAATCCGTTGATGTATGGCATATGAACGTTGCTTCCGATGGCCGAACGCACTTTGACATCGGAGTCAAGCTCTGCTACGAGCTTTGCAATCGATAGCATCAGCCCAAACAATCTGTCCCCATCTGCGAGAGTATAATACCCATCATAAGTGCAGCAAATAGGCAAATAAAGGACAGCTGTTGCTGGCTGATTGTCGCAGACCGCACAGTGTTTGCTCCCCCACAGCTCCAATATCTGGTCATGGTGTGTACTTGCTAGGGTCGCTATCTCTTTGAACTGAATTGAATCACATTCCCGTCGATGCTTGCGGCGTTCCCATATTCGGCCTCGTGGCTCTTCGGTCTTCTTTCGAGCGTGTTCGATGAATGCAGCGTTGATTTTGCTCTCAAATGAGACGTGTTTAAGCGGATGGGAAGGCGTTGAAGACGTTGACTGAGAAGTTGGGGCGCGCTGAGGCCTGCCATAAAACACGCTGAAGATGATAGGTATATCGAGGGAGGAGGAGGAACTTGAGGATGAGAAAGAAGACGAGAAAGAGGGAAATTCCTTGCTGTATTCTGCCTTCTTCTTGGGACTTCCAGAGGAGCGCTGTTTGGGGACTTCAAGCTGTGCCATGGTTGTTGTCTGTTGGTGGTAACGGGTGAAGGGGAATTGGTTGAGTAGATATCTCGGTGAAAAGGAGTTGGGCAGTTGATGTCTGCTTAGCCCCTACTAGTTAGCAGGACACTAGTAGGAATCAGGAGCGATAAAATAAACGGCATCCTCCGTTGATATCAAGGTGAGAAGTGGAACATGGAAGAAACCAATATCGGAATGCCAATATTGGTGTTTGCTCAAAATGCCAACAGAGAGGGGTCCGTCAATTTCACTCCGACTTGACAACACATCAACTGCATGGATTAACAGTATCTTATTCGATTAGCATATAAGGGTAGCGGTATCCAACCTGTTTTCATAATAATTGCAAAAAGGAAGGGGGGGAACCATATCCATCTATCTTTTGATAACTAGCCTTTGGGGGGAAACATCAGCAAAAAATACCGGAAAGATTTGGTAGACAAAAAGTTGGAGAGAAAAAGCAATAACGCTGGTATATCCGGCCTGGCCTATAACGAATTGATATTGGGAGGGCCATAAAGAGAAATAGGGTTGTGAGGTAGGAGAGCGAGGAATGCATGCTAAGTAGCCAAAACAACAAACCAAGAAGCAAAAATAAGAGTACAGGAGAGCCAACCATGGAGAAAAGAGTTCAAACAAGAGCTATGAGAAATGAATGAAAAGAGACGACAATAAGAATGGATGGTACGCCATTAAGCTATTTGATATAGACGGGGAAGGAAAGTGAGATGTATAAAGGGATTCCTGGAGCATATAATCAGTTCGTGAGGGAGACAAAGTACGAGATATGAGATAGATGAAGAGGAAATAAATTATAGAAGAGTAATAATTCATGAGTGCGAAGGATATGTGTTTGGCCTGTGATGACAGGTGGCCAGGCTTAATATATAGATTCGAAAAGGTAGAGAAGGCCGAAGATGATGAAGCAGACGGCACCACCAAAGGTGACTATGAGAACATGTTAGAAGCTGAATTGATAGACACGTTATAGAGACTAGAGGGATATCCATACCAACTCGGATGCTGACTTTGCCAGCGATCGCTCGTCCACCTATGACTGCACCAGCAGTACAAAGCGCATGACCAATAACGGCACCACAGGTAACCCACCAATAATCAGCACCAGCAGCCATGGCGATAGTAGCTATCTGGCTTCGATCTCCCCATTCTCCTAGGAAGGTCATGACAAAAGTTTGCACCCAAGCGGGACTCAGCAGGAACGAAAACAGGTTGCTAACACCAGACATCATGTTTGCAAGAGTGTTAGCGCGAGATGGAGAGTTATCCCTGGACGACGATGAGGAGAGACTCTCTGGAGAGGGGAGCATATGGTTGGAAGAGCGGCTCTTCCGTGGGAGTCCCCCATGGCCAGATTCTAGCGCATAGGCACTGATGCCGGAGCGGCCGCGGCCCATGCGAAGCTGCTCATGTTCCTTCTCTTCAAGTTCCATCTCAACCTCTTTCATTTCCTGGCTGACGTTCTCATCTGGGGACATGTTTCGTGCCTCAACCATCATTTTAAAGCCAAAAACGAAGAAAAGTATCGATGCAAGAGCGCTGGTAAAGTGAGCTGGTAGAAGGGTAGGAACAGCATGGCCAAGGACGGCGGAGAGAACGGTCATGACAGCGAGTGCACTAAATGCGGCAGAAAAGACGAGCATGCGAGGATGGCGCATAGCCATAAGCGCAGCGACAAGGAAGGTCTTGTCACCAATCTCGGAGAAAACAATCATGGTAAGCGAAAGGAAGAACGAGTCGGAGGGGTGAATGATTTCGTTGCCAGGTTGTTTCGACGGTATCTTGGTATCGGGGGAACGAGAAGATCCAGGTTTCGTAGAGAGATCAGGCCCACGAGATTTATCTGACTTCCCTGAGGAAACAGAGTGAGGAGACTCGGGTAGATCGTCAGGTTTCTATAATGGATAATTAAATGTTAGAACAAAGCAAGAGTGGCATAGCAAAACATAGTCAAAGGTCCAACCTACCTCCAGAACCTTTGATCCCTTCTTCTCATCGTCACTATCCTCTGGCTGGTCGTCTTGCCCGGGAATCTTTGTCTGTTCACTATGGGGAAGTGGAGGTAACTCCTTGGGAGAGTCCGGTTTCCTGTTGGTGCTCGGGTCTTTGCCCTTGGATTTCGCTGACACTCCGCCCTCTGTACCTGTGGTTCCCTCCTTGGGCCCCGAACGGTTTTTATCATCCATTACTCCGTCATTTGAGTGAGGAATCTTGGTCCCGTCGGGGGCGATATGCTCGGTGTCTTCTGAGAAGGTATCATCCTCCTCATCCTCCTGCTTTGAGCCACCATTCTTGGACGACTTCTTACGTCCTCGCTCTGCATTTGTCTCTACAAAAGGGCCGGCGTGCGGTTTGCCATCCTTCCCGTCAAAGGGGCTGTTAAACTCCCAGGTTGCAGGGTCATCCGAGGAAACCGTGTCCGCCACGTCTTTTGAAGAGTCTGACTCCCGAGTACCTTTAGACGGCTCCTTTTTCTTCGCATCTGGATTCGATACAGGGCCGGCTATAGCAGTAGAGATAGAGAGGAGGAGGAGGGCGGACGAGACGAAAGGCTGGACACGCATGTTGGGCTG